TTAATGTTAAAGTGACAGAAAACTGGGTATTCTGACTTTTTCCAGCCCCTCATCTCGGTGACTGGACGCAGAAGGTGCAGCAGATCTGCCGGTTTCTGCAGGGCTGAGCTGGCACCCTGCCCCGCTGCTCGTTCCCTCCGCGGCTGCGAGGTGGGTGCCTGGGTGCCCCCGGCTTCCAGTGGGAACTTGGTACCCAGTGCCTGAGCTCTTCCAGAGATCCCAACACTGGCCTTTAGGTGGATTTAGGGCTTCATCTCCTGTTTCTGGGCATTCAGATCAGGTCTTTGTTTGAATGCAGATTTGTGTGGATCCTGGGCCCCTCTGGCTGCTGGTTTTGGCAGCCAAGTGCCTTGTTATCTCAGTGCAGAGTGTGGCCTTGAAGCAGGATGCAGAGAAACAGTAGGGAGGGTCACGGAGAGAGGGATTTCAGGAAGTCTGTGTTGCTTTTGTGCGCTGAGCAGCGGGAAGGTGGCGTGGGAACCCTTGGCTTGTTTCCTTGGGAATGAGAGAGTCCAACCTGTGTCTCCCTGGCAGGCTTATCGGGGGCATTAGTGGGAGGGGAAAGAAAACACCATGCTGGCGGGTTCCTGGGGTCCATCAGGGATCTCTTTTGGCTCTGTAGGCAGCCCAGCTTCCTCCCTTGGGTGCACTGTCTGAGAAGGGGGGGTGAGGGTGGACAATATCCCCCTCCCCGTGCCCTTCCCTGGCACGCAGCAGGTTCCCACTTGACGGAAGAGTTGCAGAGGAAAACCCTGCCCTGCCTAGAGCCCCCGGGGTTGAGCCCATGTTCAGTTAGCCGTTGTCTTTCTGCAAGGCCAACAACTTACAGGGCCTCCTCTTCAGGTTGGGATCTCCAAGCAGGGTTTTCCCAGAGGAAATGGTCTGGGATCCGCATCGGTCGAGTGATGGAACTGAGCTGTTAGGCAGCAGATAGTTCTGGCCTTGCAGCAGCTGCTTGGGGTGACTTCTCCAAGTCACACGTGGTTTCTCAGAAGTACAATTTTTTCATGACGTAGCAGCTCAGCCCTTGGCAGGAGTAGGTCAAAAAGCATGTACTGGGTGCTTCAGAAGGGCTGGTCTGCTTTGTTCCAGCCATGGCTGCATGCCTGGCCTGCAATCCCTGGGCATGACTTGAGTACCAGCCTCCTTCTCTGCATTTCTTCTCTGCAAATCTCGGCTGTATTCCCCTGCTCCGAGTGTGTTTCTGTCTGAGAAAACGTTCCGCAGTCAAGTGCCTGACCTTGGAACAGAGCCTCCCACTCTCCTTTCTTTTTTGTTTTATTTAATATATAGTAAAATAAACTTACTTTCCCCTTCTTGATGTTGACAGCGGCTCCATTGAGCCACAGCACGATGAAGGGAAAATCAAAGCCCAGTGAAATTTGCTGGAGTTGAAAGGCAGGTCAGGCTCTGGGGTTACTCATCTCAATTGCACTTTTGTTCTAAAAATGAGAGGGAGAATGCGTGCACCATGCCGACCGGCGTGATCTCCCAAGCCTTTGGAAGAAGGAGCAGGAGGGGTGGAAGCTCTGCAGGTCAGCGTGGGTGGGAAGGTGCTGGGGTGGCCGGGGCTCCATCCGGCAGCGTTGGCGGGTGGCTGTTGCTGAGCAGAAGAGCGGTCGGGGCTCTGTGAGTCACAGGCGACTTCTGGCTCCACGGGGTCAAGTGTTGAGTCTTGCTGTGGCTACGCCAGCCTGAGTGTGTCTCAAGTCCCTTAACCCTTCTGGGATTCTGGTCCCTACCCGTAAACTAGAGCCAGCAGCACTCACAGGGGACATGGAGCCTTTTCTCTACCTCACCCCATGTGTTGTTCTGCAGCCCAGGTGGGATTTGGACCTGGAGCAGCACTTATGTCTTGTCCTGGTGCTACAAAGCTGCAATTCCCATTTCCTGAGGGCTGCAGCTCTGCGGGAGTCTTGGCCAGGCACCTTCATCTTCTCTTTGTCGGCCTCTTGCTCCTTCTAGTTTTCCCCTGACTCTGAAAAGCAGATGCTGTTACAACCCCAGTGAACATCAGGTTTTGGTATCTGCATGTGAAAGTTTGGGTTGCTATCGTGCAGGCAGGCAGTGACGCTCCGTTACCTAGCACAAAGCCCCAGCGGGACCCTCCTGCAAGGGCCACAGGGGTACCTTAAAGAAAAGGTGCTGCTTTGGGCACGTGGGAAATGAGCTCTTCTGTGCCCAGCTTGACCGCTGTTCTGTGTGTACCACCCACCTCTGCCACCGTTTCTCACTCAGTGGCCTCAGGCATGTCACTTGTCCTGTGGGTGTTAGGCGATGTGGTCCGGCCCGGCTCGCAGGGGCACGGCGGAGTGACGTGGTGCCCTGTCGGGGGGGTCCCCGGAGGGACCCTCCTGCTGTGAAGGAGTTGGGTGAGAAGCGCTGTCTGCGCAGTAAATGATGTGTGACTGAGTGCTGGTGGCTGCCAGGCAGCCCCTGGCTCTCTGCCACCGTGCCCGAGGTGCCCAGGCTGAGCTGGATGAGCTGCCTTACACCCGCACAGCCAAGGCAGGGGACCTGAGACTTCCCCTGCTCAACGGGAATGTCCCCCAAAATATGCAACACCGAATGACTGCCTGCACTCAGTTCCCCACGGTGGCTGCCTGTCTCTGGCACTGACGTTCGCATCCTTTCCCTTGGCAAGGGACAGTGGATCCCCTGAAATCACAGTGGGCAGACACCTTTGTAGAAACCCCAACCAGAGTAAGAGGAGGTGGGCCCAATTCCCTCTGGCAGTCCTGGACTGTGATGTCCAGGGGCCCAGAATAGCCATCTCTTCTGCCAGGTGACAAAAGGATGTGATGGAGATAACGCAGTCTGCATAATTTTAATTTAGAGGCATTGGAGCAAAGGGAGAGACTGCTGCAGTCCTGCAGCCAGCCAGACACCAACATTTCATCCGCACCAGAGCTGGCCATGGGGTCTTGGCTTTCATTTCTGTTTTTCTTCCTCTTTTTATAAATTAAAATCCCAAAATAACTGTGCTGCTCTGGGATATTTTTAAGCTGTTTTTCCCCTCTTCCTTTCTTCCCTACATCTCCCAACAGGTTATAGCTGAGAGGGCTCCCAGTTGCCAATGGAGAAGGCTGCACGTCACTTCCTTGGCATGGGGCCGTCTCCAGCCCTCAATGCTCACTTTGTTTTTCCCCTAAGAGTCTCAGTGAGCTGTCGGAACTCTTCACAGTGTCACATTACCCCTGTCCCACAGCCCGTTGTGGGAGCTGCTGCTGATGTGGCATGCCGAGCACAGGGGAAGCCTCAGCACCCCTCAGCCCCGGTACCGGAGCGGTGGGTGAAGCTCTCTGTTCCAGCTGCATCCTTGCCTTCCTCCTCCTCTGTGTCTGCTGCTGTGTGACCCAGCACGCTCCCTTTCCTCTGGAAGTCACCCACCTCTCTCCCTTGCATCCCACCCGTGTCTGTCCTCTTTCAGCAGCCTTTGAGAGTCCAGCCTGAGAAAAGCACCCAAGGAGCACCCCGTGCTCCAACCTCCACCCTGCTCTTAACTGTCTAGTAGCTACTGTGTGGTCTGGGTGGAATAGAAAAGAGGAGCTGCATTTCACAATAGGAGATACCCATGTCCTGGTGGAACAAGGACCTGGCTGTGAGAACAGCTCCTATTTCCATAGGCATCTAGAATGAATGCTCTAATGGTTACAGGACTTCTATACGGCCATAGATTACTTGCAGATAAATAAGCAGCGCTCAATAACAGCTATTAAAATGCTCAGCTGTTTAACTCTTAACCTTCTGTTTCATCACACGTGTTGGGGACCTTGTGCTCTGGTCTCCTGACTTCAAAAGTAGCTCCAGCCCAGGTGATGTGTTTGGGTAGGGGGTCCCAAGCTGCGATGCTAAAGGATGAGGATGTGCCCCTTTCACTTGACTGGAAACATCTGATCCTTGGGAGCCTGTACCGGGGAGCTGGCATGGCTGCGGAGAGCTCCAGGCTCAGCTCCTGAACACTTCCAAATTGTGAGTTTGGTTTCGGAAAATCTTCTATTGACAAGACAGGCAACCCACAAAGTTTAACAGTTAATTCATGTTGGTTTCTGAGTATTTGACTGCATTTGTTACATGCTCCAGGACCCGCTTTAGCTGGCCTTGTAAGGAAGGAGTGCAGGCTTCTCTGTGGCTCAAATCAACTGTGATATCTAATCCAGCATGCTTGTGTTGTGTGGCTGATAGTCAGTGGTCAGCGCTGAGATCTTCCTGATGGGTTTTTTGTTGTTGTTGTTTGCACATATTTAGTGTTTTGCTTCTCTCTGTTTCTCCCTTGTTTTGCTGTGTGTGATTTAGGCCATTGCACCGTGCAGTATTATCAGTAACATCAGGATCCTGCTGTTTTCTCGCTATCTGCAGATTTGGGAGCCCACTGTGCCATGAAAACATGGTTAAACCAATGAGCTTAGAAGGTGGGGATGGAAATAAACTCAGAGGGGACAAGCATTGCTATTGAAATGAGGGTTACTACTAGAAAAAATCGGGGTTTTACTAGAGGAAATTTCAAGGTTTTCCTGCGTTGCAAGCAAAGGTGGCAGTGCTGGTCGTGCTGCCCGTTCTGCATCTGGTCCTTCCCAGCCCTGGGCTGTGTGTGGCTCTCCAAAGGCACGGCTTGGTGGCTGGACCACCCCTTGAGGCCTGCCACACGTGCCAAAAACACCCATGTCTGCTACGTGTGAGCTGTTGGTTTTCTCCTGCTTCCTCCATGTGAGGTGTAGGATTGCTGGGCTAGGGATAAGGAATTCTTCTCCAGGATGCAGGTGCCAGCAACCTGGCCACGTTCTTCTGGGGTGATTTGGAAGCCAGTGCCCCTTTCCAGCCCACTGGAAAGGGCTGGAAAATATGGATGGAAGTGCCCCAGGTGGTATTAGTAGTGCAGCACTGGAGGAGGGGGGCTTGGGGGGAGGGTAGGAAAGCTTTGGGTTAGCTCTGTGTTTTCTTGTTTCTAACTGTTTTGTTCTCTCCTTTTTCTCCTCTGCCCCCTCCCCTGCTTTCTAAAGAACATAGGAAGCTTCTTGCTGGTAAGTGGTGGTGTGTCATGCAAAAAACCCCATTTTTTCCATCCACCATCAGACTCGCTGGCTAGTCCGTGTCATTCTTCCATCCACCCAGGATGTGCTGGAGCAATAGAAACCTTCTGGAGGTGGGTACAGGCACACCCATCCCCACGGCCTCTTGGCTGCAGCCTGTGCGCTCACCTCAAAGGGATCTATTGCTTTTAGATCACAGTTTGAAGAATTGCTTTCCCCTCTGCCTCCACGTTGCCCAGCCTGACATTGTTACCTGGGCTCAATTGGATTGTGCCTGTCCTTGCACAAAGCAAGCGACGGCTGCTGCGGCACCAAGCCTCTGGAGTGCTGTGGGTGTGAAACTGTGATCTAAAGACACCCCTCACCTAGTGCTTGCTTCATTTCCAACTCCATCCTCAGCCTCTCACCTTCACCAGCTTCCTGGGGAGGGCGGGGGAGAGCACTGTCCCAGCTCATACTGGAGGTAAAACCGCTGGGATTTGCCTGTTGACCTGGCCTGGGGGTTTTGTGGCATGTGCTGCACCTGATGTAATTAATGAAGGAGGGCAGAGGCTGTGTCCCCCATCCTGGCTGAGCTGTGGAGCTGCAGGTATGGGGCAAACATGCCACAGACAATTTTTCTGGGCATCTTTCTAGCAAAAGCCAGTGAAGTGTGGGCATGGGCTGAAGCCCCTAAAGTGTTCCTGTCCCTCCGGTCCCCTCGCCTGCCCTGCACTGTGTCAGCAGTGGCTCATCTCTTCCCCAGCTGGCCCTCTGCATGGACAGTTGTTTTAAAAAGTGAATCCTAGTCATTAAAACAAACCCTGTGCGTGCCCTGGCTGGTGAGGGCAGCCCATAGCGGGCAAGGGGCGGGTGTGCGTGGCTGCAGGCTGGCTGGGTACCCACATCCCCGTGATCCCTGGAACTGGGAATCCCCCCTGTGCTGCTGCCCCTCTCCAGCATGCCCCGACCAGCCACCCTGTCGTGGCAAAAGCTCCCAGGTCCATGTTTGCCATGGGCAGGCCTGGGTGTAGAGGTAGCAAAATGCTTTTCTGCACCAGCTTTGACTCTGGGGACCGCTTCTCTGCCCACACCGTGCTCATCTTGAGACCTTTAGGTTCACTGCTGACCCACATATACAGTTGAATAAGCAGCTGCTTTTTGGTGTGATGTGGGGTGGGATGGAGCTGTGGCAGCTCGGCGAGTCTTGGTGTGTGTCAAACCCAGCTGAACTGAGGAAAAGGGAATTGCACCAGGACCGGGCCAGCTGTGGCTGGTGAGCTGTTTAAGGCTACTGCTGCTGTATTTCCTCCCTGGTTTGTGCCCCTCATTATGTATAATATATAGATTATTCTGTGCAAATTGGGAGAGCTAGGCTAAAGGTTTGCTTGGAAATGTGCCCTTGCTATAAAGGTGCTGGAGAGGGAACAGAGGAACATAAAAGTTTTATTGAAGGCTGCCTACTCCTGGCCTGGACCCTGGGCTTCTCTGGGTCCGGGAGGAGCAAGGAGAGAAGCTATCCAAGCCGACAGCATCCCCTGCCGGCTACTGGCTCCTGTGCCTCGTCCCTGAGCTGTACAAACCCGAGTTCTGCGTGTTTCCGAGCAAGAAAGCCTTCTGCTCTCCTCCTGGGTGCCGGCCGCTGCTGCCAGCAGCCCCACGGGCTGGGTGCTGGTCACCGCTCACAAGCGTTTTGTTTTCCGCCCTGTGCGGCTGACGGCAAGACAGTGGGATGCCGCCTGCTTTTGGCTCTCCCGGAGAGCAGGTGGGAAGGAGAAAAAGGGTCTGGGTCCGTGGGGCTGCCTGCTTCCCCTTGCTGTGTCCCCATCCAACGTGCAAGCCCCCCCGCAGTGCCTGCGAGCCACCCCCGAGCGGGACCGTGGCTGGTCAGAGAGAGTGGCCCTTCCCTTCTCCTGCCCGTGGGGCTCTCCCCGTTTTTCCCATCCCCGAGGGCATGTGCAAGCACGCATTTTTCCTGGGTGTGTTTCCTTTCTAGCAATGTGCTTGAGCTCTCTTTTCACCTTACTGCGTAGCTCAGGGAGGGGGAAGGGAGGGGCTTTGCTCTCCCCAGGAAAGTGAAACTGGGCTGTGTGTCCCCCCCCCAGTGCTGCGGGAGGGGACGATGCTGGCTGCTGCCTTTCACCCTCCTGGTAAGCCTGGCTCTGGGTGTTCCCAAAGGGTCTGTCTCCGCAGCTCTCGTGGTTTGTCTGCTTTATGGGAAGTGGTTAACAAAGCTCCTCTTGCACCAGACAGCTTGGACCAGGGCCCGGGGCTGATGCTTTTGTCTGCGGTGGCTGCTGGACACAGCCGTGACCAAGTGCCAAGTGACCAAGGGACCCCCGCGCCCTTCTTGTGTGGCTGACTGGCACCGAGCTGCATCACTCAAGGGTGCAGGTGGATTTTTGAACCATTGCAGGCTCTTTTGTGGCCGGACTGACTGGCGGGAGAGGTGCAGTGAGAGCACTTGGCTGGTGGAACTCAGCTTGGGAGCAGGGCAAGGTGTCCAGCTGAACTTGGGGGCAAACCCGCTGCTGGCAGGAGGTAGCAGAGAGCCCCGTGGCGTGGCTTTTCAGCTTCTGCTCTCTAAAGCAGCTCCTGCTGAAGGCTGCCAGGCCCTTTTCTGAATATTGCTCCCAGCACTCCCTCTGCCTGCAGCACTTTGTACAGCTGGCGTGGCAGAGGGATGCTTCTGCTGTCAGGATCTCTCACCTTTGCTCGGGGTACGTGCTGCCCATCCCTGCCTCACCCCACTGCTGCTGCTCAACTCCTCGAGTGCTGGGTTGAGCGGGTAGGAATTGAGGTGTTTTAGTGAGGTGTACCTCTGCTTTCATGCTCTGTGCTCTCACTGGCATGTTTTTTCTCACCGGTTGGGCTCTGCTGGTGTGGCTTTAGGACTCTGAGGCTTGTCTGAGGTTTCTGGCAGCACCCTAACTCCAGCCAACGCTGCTCTTTCGGGCAGACTCAGTATGAAGCAGACCCAGTGTGAGGCATACCCCCACCCTTGTTGCTGAGGGATGTCATTCATTGTCTGGAGGCACGCCGGTGACAGCTGCTTTCTTGGTGGGAAGGTATCCAGAATGCCAGGGATACACGCTAATTTTAGCCTGCTGGGTGTTTGCTTCAGAAATGTGCTGTAGGTTTGTTTCATCATTTGTTTTCTACTGGTTTTTCCTATTTGCACGTTCTGCCCCCCCCCGGCACCTCCATGTTGTTATATCCTCCGGGAACTCTGCAACACTGGCTGATCCTCACATCCCCTTGCAGACAAACAAAGTTTACATCAGTTTGCGAAGCAAATTGGTGTGTGTTTGGGAGAGGGCTGGTAGAAGTGCCGCCTTAGGGTTCAGCCAACTCGGCACATAGTGAGGCCGAAGGCTTGGACGAGTCGTGCTCAGCCACTCCAGAAGTCAGGCAAGGCTCTGGTGGGGGGAGCTGATGCTGTCTCGGGGAAGCAGTAACCCACAGGACGATGTAAGCTCAGAGCAGACCGTAGCCCCTGAAAGTGGTTGGAAGTTCTGCTTGCCCCCCAGCAAGGCAGAGGCTTTCCCTTCCTTCTCGCCCCCGCGTTGCTCTGCCGTGTTGATGGGGATGCTGCGGGCAGCCCCGCTGTGCTGCTCGGCGTTCCGGCCGGCGGGAATCGTTGGTGGGAGCGGCAGATGGCAGTGTGAGCCTGCGGAGGAGCCGGGGATGCAGCTCGGGGGTACCGCCGCCCTCCGTCCGCGGGGTTTTGGGGCTCTAGCCCTGCATGCACCCCATCCCACACTCCCTCAGAGCGTGGGGGGACAGGCTGGAGGGGCCTTTGTCCCAGCATCGCCCCGGCTCGCCTCTCTCCAGGCTGGGTGCCGGTCTCGGATCGCTCCTGAATGCAAGTCCTGCAGCGTGGCTGTCCTGGGAGCCACGGAGGAGGCAAGCAGTGGCCACTGAAGGCATGAAATCCCTAGTTTGGTGCCTCGGTCTGGAAAATCCTCTTGGGCTTGGGGGTTCAAGCCCTACTGCCACATTTGGAGCCTGCAAGCTGGGCTCACAGGGGGACAGGACTCAGGGCTGGGGGTGTGGATGCCAGCGGGAGCCCAGCAGTTTATATGAGCGGTCACCCAGGGCAAGGGTTTGCCTTTGCGAGGGCAGAGGGTGGCAGGGCTGGGCTAAAAGCGCTCCGGCTCCTTGGCTGATACAGCAGGGATCTGTGTGGCTTAGCGCTGAGATGCATCACCTCCCTCCCCTGGGTCGCTTTTTGCTTTGCTGTGTGCTTGCTTTTAGGCAGCAGTGCTGTACTTTTAGATCTGGAGACCAAGTGTCTATGTGAAAACCTTGTGTTTGGGGCTTTTTTTAATTTATTTTTTAAGCGGGGAGGCAGGGACATCATAAAACCCATTCACCATTGCGTATGTGCGGTTTCCCCGCGCAAACCACAACAGTCATTAAGTGGGGAAACCTCTTAGAGTTTCAGAAGAGGCAGCCAGGTACCCTTTGTCTGTCCAGCACCGACTGGCATGGCTGTTTATTAGGAATGGTGTGAATTAGCACCCTTTTCCACTCCCGGCACACACACGAACCTGTCCGCGAGGCTGGCCACCCCAGCCCCATCTCCTGCTCCCCAGTCTTCCATTGATAGGGTTTAAAAGCTCTTTATTTCCAAGCGCTGCTCAGTAGGAGTCAAGCTGGGTCCTGCCAAGTGTTAAATGAAATAATTAAAATCCCCACTTTCTCCCCCTCCTGTTCCTTTCTTTTTAATGCTGGTAATTAGCCTGTAAAACTGCAGGAGGGGATGGGGAAGGGAGAATGTGCAAACGCCTTCTGCAGGCTCCCTCCTCCTCCTCTTCGCTCTCCCCAGAGGAAGCACAAAATGGCTTTCTAGGCATTGGGTGCTGTCAGATAAATCCCAATTAGCTCCCTGCCAAACAGGATTAGTGTGAAGGGAGCCAGGTGGTGGAATCAGCCTGGCAACAGCAGGGGCTGGGGACTTCCGCAAGGTCTCTAGCTCGGTGAGGAGGGACAGATTGACAGCTGTCAGT